GAACGAGGACAATGGTCGTCTAGATTATGCAACTACAAAGGTTAGGAAGTGAGGTCGAAGAGATAAATGCAAGGAGCGACGGGATGGAACAAATGAATGGACGGATGAAGGTCAATAGGTTTAGTAAAGTGGAAAAGCCCTCCAGGGCCAACCATGCACTTCAGGAAGATAGATCGACGAGATCTATATGCAGATGAAACTGCGAGAAACAGAGGATCGAAAGATCCTGGTATATGTATGCATATCGGAGCTCAGTTGTAGAGCTCACAATCTGAACGGAGAGAGAAAAGAGAAAAACGAAACAGATAAGCCAGTCTACTAGACAGTAAAGCTGGAAGGATATTGATTAAATTAGAGAAATTGTGCGTTCAAGTTCACACCTTTTAAACAAAACGTTAAAACGATAGCTATCAAGAAAGAGTGAGCTTGGATCCAGGTTGTCCAACAGAAAAGAGAAGAATTGAGAAGTAAGTTAAGATGTCTACGGAGGTAAAGGTATCATCGTCGAGCAAGGATCCCATCTTCGATGGGAAAGATGAAAAGTTCAGGTTCTACAAGGTCAAGATGATGGCCCATTTATCGAAGTATGGGTACGTAGAACTGATTAAAGACTCTACGGAGATCAAACCGAACAACTGGGAAAACCCTACAGGTACGGACAAGTTGTCGGACGACGAAGTAGAAAAGATCGAAAGGCTGCAGAAGAAGAACAGCAAGGCTGCTGGAATACTGCTGGATTTGATCAATGTGGAGACCATCGAAAGGCAAGTCGCCTTCGACCTACTGGCTTCACACCAAAAAACGACTGACCATGCTGCTGGGGAATTCAAGGGCATGTGGGAGTCCATGCTGGACCTCTACGATGCTGAAGACAGTGGTGAAGTAGCAGCTCGACGAACGGGATACTACGCGATAAAGATGGCAATCAAGGAAAACCCAAAGAAGTCCGAGATTGGACTCGACGTGAAACGCAAGAAGCTAGCAAAGGACTGGTTCAAGATCTCGGACGAAGAGTACATCAAAGACCTTCTCGAGAAGATGCCGAAGAAGGAGGGAGGAACTCGGATGTATTCATGAAGTGAAAGAAGAATGTCTTGCGAAGGAATCAAGACAACAGGGACATGAATAATGGTAAAAGGTGTGGTGGATGACTTATGCTAAATCTACGATGAGATTAAAGCACGAAACAAGTCGAAAGACCACAATGGCGAAACAGATTTCATGATTGGAGGAAAACAATTTAAGGGCAGATGCAGGAACAGTGGAAAGATCGGACACAAGCAAAAAGACTGCCCAGACAAGAAAGGCTCGAACGGAAGAAGTTACGGACAAAGGTACCAAGGAAAGTCAAACGGTAAAATCAGCAGGAACAATGGGAGCAGTAGCGGATTTCAAGGAAAGAAGAAGTTTAGCGGAAAGTGCTTCCACTGTGGAAAGTTGGGCAAGGAAATCGGTGCCAAACTCAAAGCGGAACAGCGAAATGTAGAAGGAGCAAACACAGCACAAAAAACAACGGAAGAGATGGAATTCATGACGATGAGCGATGAAAAATGCATGCCATGCCGAGGAGTAGGGTTGTCAGACGATGAAACAGGGGGAGTAGAAGAAGCATCGGAATATGAAGGCAAAGAATTGGACGCATTCTGGGACGATTTTGAAGGCGGAGATGACGTGGATGAAAATGGAGAAAGCTTGGAGCAATTAACTTATGAGGCGATGGACGCCCTTAAATCTCTCCAAGAAAAACAACAACGACTGACTAAAGAAGAATCAGTCACATACAACAAGACCCCAGACGTTACCTATCTGTCCTGCGAAACAGAGAGCAGGGCAGACTCCGACAGCGAAACACTCCACGATTTAAAGCAAAACGGCTACAACGAAGAAGTTTCTTAGAAGGAGGAGAAACAACGAACGAAAAATTCGCCCACAATCTACGAAGACGACAACTACTAAAGCTGTTTGAGCGAAGACGACGAAGAAGTAAAAGATGGCGAACAGATTCCAAGTTGCCCGGAACGTGCTAGAAGCACAGCTGTACCGAGGTAGGAGTCGACACATGATGAAGATCACCAAACATCCAATCCCATTAAACAACCGACATCCCATGAAACGAGCAAACGAAGGATGGGAATTGGACGATTCACACATAGATGGTATACAGTGGAGGAGAAACGCAGAAGAAGCATGCCAACTAAACCCCGAAGAAATATGGGAAGGGCACTCAAGCCCAGAGATGAAGCAACTGGTCGGAAACTTCGAACAGTTCAGATTGTTGCTGAGGATGATGCCATACGAGATACAGACCAACCCCCATCTCGTGGAGCTCCAAGCGGAAGTGCTAGGTTGGACCAGCAGTTTGTTGCTCTTTCGCTATTGGACTCCAGACACGAAAACAATCGCAGGGGCTATGATAACGTGCAAGATAAAGCACGGACCTCGTACTCCTGGTCATCTGATGATGATCGGATAACCATCTGATTTGAGTCACACATCCCCAATCACGAACCGTGATTGTGGATCCCGAGTCGTCTGTCCGTCATACGAAAATACCTTTCTGACAAGCAAATAATGAGCGTAGCATTCGGTTTTTTTCGGCGCTGGTCTCCTGTATCCCTTTGCCTCAGTTTGGATCCTTATGACGAATACATGCACAAAACCGAATATTGTTAATCCAGCCATTGTAGCAGGCTACCGTACAGTTACATCGGCGACAGTGTCAACAGTACCGAACACACTCAGGTTCCCCTTTGCTGGCTTCACTCCGTTGCTGGTATCTTGCATTGGATCCTTACGACGAATACATGCACAACCGAACAGTATAAATCCAGCCATTGTAGCCGGCTGCGGTATAGCTACATCGACGACAATGGCAACAGTACCGAAAGTTCGGCTTTGCTCGCTACCGTTACCGGTACCTCGCATTGGATCCTTATGATGAATACATGCACAACCGAATATTGTTAATCCAGCCATTGTAGCAGGCTGCCGTATAGCTAGTGGCAACAGTACTTGATTTGCGCATACAGGAAAATGGGTACCGACACAGGAATCACCACCAAAATAGTAGGAAATAACAAGAAGGGATGAATCCGGTAGGAGGATCCACTCTCTTGTGTGTTGTCGAGTAGCTAGCCTCGCTCCTGTTCCCTTTCAATGAGTCGACGACGGTCCGTTCATCCTGTTGGTAGGGCTGGAGTTAACAGTTTCCTCCGCACACATACCTCCGTATCGGTAGCCTCTTCTTCCTCGTGTTCTCCGGAGCGACCGATCGTTCGTTCGACAATGGGATTTCCTCGGCCATCAGCAGTACAGCAGAGAAAACAACAAATAGATATGAGTTTTGTTTTCTGTGCTCAACTGCAGACGACCGGAGACTTACCATTGTTTTTCAAATTGCACCAACTTGGCCGTCATGGGCCGAGAACTGACTGCCATCCCACGGTCCATAGGATTCAATGAGGGATGGCTTTCTGTTCTGCACCGGAGAAGGACGGCTTGAGTGAGGCCTGGATAACAGAGGTGCGACCGATTCGATTCGAATAATTAAAACAACTCACCTGTTGACGGTCGAGCTTGGAATTCTCTCCTGTTTACCATAGAAATCCAATGAGGGAGAGAAGTCAGCGCTGTACCTTCAATTAACACTCTTGATAATAGGCTTACCTCATTGCGATCGATCGATCGATCGATCGATCGATCGGCCGATTGGATAAAGAACTCCTCCTACCGGTATACGTATACCACTCTTGTCGGCCAAGCTTGGATTTACCTCCTGTTTACCATACGAATTCAATGAGGGCCTTCAATAATGGCGGTGGCTGGAGAGGTGATGGAAGGATTCGATTCATTCGATTTCTCAAGTTTAACATGCAACCCTAACCTTAGTAACTTCAACGGTTCTTTTTATCCACGAATCGATCTATTTTCATCGAACGAGAACCTGTTACTTATGGATACACATGACCGTTGATTCTGCAACTGAAGTGCGGGTACTCTATTTTATACAGTAAACGCCGGCAAATGGATTCCAGAGCACCACTGAGGGGGTAACCAAAAGGTGCGTCGTCTCGTGGAGACGAAATTCGAGTGAGTCGAGTCTCAATCACACGACCTCACTGTTCGTCTTTTTATTTAAAACGATGAGTCACAACCTTCTTCACGACTTAATTATGATGCGGAGGTAACAACGTAACAACGTCACATCCACGTCTCCTGTTCAAGATTTCTACGCACCTCTTTGCTCCATTTAACGGCTAGGAGTAGACTAACCGTGTCATTCGTTTGATGACTTAGTAATCCGAACAACACGTCATCCTCTTTGCTTCCACCTCAGCCTGGCCACTAGATAGTCAGCCTCGCCGATTCGATACGATTCCACGGGAAATTCTTACGAAACGATTGTGGTAGTCTATCGGTAGTCTAGCTTGTAAAGGGTGTTTTATTTTCACAAAATCGAAAACTGTGAGCACCATCTCATCTCATCTATTCAGGAAATCGAACAATGATGAGGGTATCTTTTGGTGCTACGGTTTGGAGTCTCCTGGCTCCGGGGATTGCTGCTGCTGTGGGACTCCCCGACAGCCATCCATCGGTTGGGGTGTTGTCCAAGTTCAACTTTAAGTGTCCCTACGCCGAAGAATGGGTCACCAAAGGACCACTCCAGGCCGCCTTGGATCTTGGTCTGGTGCAAAATGTCACTACCATCACCACCTCAAAATCTGGTGGAAGGCAACAGCTTCGTCGTCGCACTCAGCAGGATATGATCGTGGCTGGATCCTGTGTCTACACCAACGCTTGGTCGGGGCAAGTGGCTTGCTTGGAAATGAGAGGTGACGCTTGGACGGGTGCCACCATGGAGTCACGTTGTGCTTCGGAAACGGATTCTACATTGACGGCCGGGGCTCCCTGTGCTGTTCCAGACGGAATGACGGGTTGGTGTTTGGTGGGTGAAGATGGGTCCATTGAGGCGACTCCCATGGCAGGTGACAACAACTGTGGACAAACACAGAGCGCTTGTGAGACTTTCATGACGGGAACCTTT